GTAGAAAGAGCGTAAAGAAAATATAATATAACTTATTTGTTACATGAATGATCTAATGAGCATTCATGTTCATCTTATGCTAATCGCCGATGACGTATCATATAAATTCATTAATAAATTTTAAACTTAATTCAAATGTCGAGGGTCACCATAAATTATCAACCAATGGACTTATATGACGCATTGGTGTTTAATATAAGATGAACATTGGTACTCATCGGATCATTCCTGATTTACAATATATTATAAAATTAAAGTTTGATTATTGAAATTGAAAGTTAAAAAACAAACGTGAATAAAATTCTCTTGAACTTATCGAGAATAAATTAGGGATCGTGATGGAATTTCGAAATTGAAATGACACGAAAAATAATGGAACGCAAAATCATGGGCTGGACCTGGACATGTTTCACGGGTTACCTTTCTTCTTAACACAGAAAGGAATACCGTGCGGCAGTAGTCTGCTTCGCTAGACTACCTTCCGCCTTCTCTCAATCGTTTCGGGACGAAACGATTCTCTTGATTATTGAAATTGAAAGTTAAAAAACAAATGTGAATAAAATTCTCTTGAACTTATCGAGAATAAATTAGGGATCGTGATGGAATTTCGAAATTGAAATGACACGAAAAATAATGGAACGCAAAATCACGGGCTGGACCTGGACATGTTTCACGGGTTACCTTTCTTCTTAACACAGAAAGGGACACCGTGCAGCCGTAGTCTGCTCCGCTAGACTACCTTCCGCCTTCTCTCTGTCGTTTCGGGACGAAAGGAAATTTGATTACAATTNTCGTTTCAGGACGAAAGGAAATTTGATCACAATTTAAAGAAAGCTTGCACATAAAAATGAAATGTATTGAACATAACTTGATCATTGATTGCTAGAAAGCTTGAAATTACAATTGATTGAAAGCAAGAAATTACAATGATTAGTGCAGGGGGCGAACACTAGAAAATTTGAAAGATATTTGAAAGACTAATACATCCTATAATAGACTTAGCAACAAAAACTCAACTGACGGGAGTAGACGTTTAAAATCTCTGGAATCATACTAAAATTTTCTAATTTCCAACTATTTTACAATTGAAATAAAATATTTACAATGTGCGACCAAAGTTGGGCAAACTGCGGTTGCGATAGGGTCACGGTGTTTAAGTAAAACTGCGGTCCGTGACATTCTCCCCTATTTGCTTTGGCGATGTCCTCAGAACCCTTAATGAATGATATGCTTAATATTTTGAAGGCTTCAAGGTCTTTTCCATTTGCCCAATTATTCTCCTCACTGTTGCATCTGCTCCATTTGACCAAGTACTCTTGAAAATAGTTTCTAGAAGCTTGAGTAGTTCGATGACCAAGAATCTCTGTAGTATGAGGGAGTAACGGTTGCTAGCTAGTAGTAATCTCGAAAGAACTCTTATTGGTAGAAGAGCTCTTTTGAGTATTGAAACACATCCGAGCAGCATCCAAGAATCTTACCCAAATTTTCTGCGAAACAGAGATAAAGTACTGAAGATAGTCTTCTAGCATAGAATTGAAGCTCTCCATCTGTCCATCAGATTGTGGGTGAAAAATAGAACTCATGCTCAAAGTTGAACCAAGAGGTTTGAACAGCTTGGTCCAAAATATGCCAGTAAATTGAGAATCCCGATCACTATGATGTTCTTAAGCAGTCCCCAATATTTAACAATATGTTTGAAGAAGAGTTGAGCTGTCTCTTCGGCTGATACATACTTGGGCACTGTGGTGAAAGTTGTCTCTTTAGATAAGTCATCTATCACGACGATGATAGTGCCAAAATTTCCAACTTTTGGTAATCCACCAATGTGTCCATCGATATGCTTTCTAACGGTCTGTTTGGGACGGAAAGGGGTTCCAGTAAGCCTGCCTTTTTCTGATGATCCGTCAAATCTTGCTGACAACCAAGACAAGTTTTCACATAACTTGCATTGTCGTCCTTTCTTTGAGGCCAGTAATTTGCACATTGTAGTAGTGCAGAAGTGTAATCCACGATAGCCCCACTTCCGAACATTTCTCCCAATTGTTTCTGAAGCTCTTCAAGTTTCGCCTGAGACATACGGTATAGTGCCCTGATGGGAGGTTTGGCACCCAAAAGAAGTTCAATCTCACGATCAATTGCCCTCATTGGTGGCAATTTCTTTGGTAACTCATTCAGTTTGATATTCTCAAAATCCTTAACAAGCCTTTTGTCAGGTTTTAGAATTGGACCAGTCGCCTCTTCGATCCCATATAATCGAAGAGTGCACAAAAACGAGGGTTCATTTCTCTTGAAACCCTTACTATATTACATGGCCGAGATACCCCTCTCGCTTGTTTTCCAAACTTGTATGGGGATAACGCATGATTTACTAACCATTATTATTAACTAGTCGGAATGTGGCAACACGGTTGTTCTTGTATCCCGAAGAAATTTCAATCCCAGAATGAGCTTGAAATCATCCATCTGAACTGCCGACAAGTTCGTCCTTCATTCGAAGGGACCTACTTTGATCAACACAGATTTCGTTACTCCCTTATTTGCCAAGCAGCGGAGTTGATTGCTTTAACTTTCCCCTTACCTCTCTCTAGAGCAAGTCCGAGCCGCTTTACTTCGGCACTTGCGAGGTAGTTATGGGTAGCACCGGTATCTATCATAGCCCTGATTGGCTTCCCATTGATTTTCACATCAATGTACTTAGGCATTTCGCCCTACAATTGTGAGCCTTCAACTCTTCTATCTTCGGCTCTTTCGAGGGACCATCTTCCATTTTAGTAACTTGGTGCGATAGTGTATTGCACCGATATGAAAATGCACCAACTACATCCTTATCTTCTTCGGAGTCGGTTTCGCCATGACGCTAGCTTGTGGGGTACCTTGCTTTGATTTGGTTCCGCCACTTACTAGTTGGCAATATCCATTCACCATCCGTTTCTGAGGAACTCCGCCACTCGATGGGGTCCTTCACATAAAAAGCACTTCAATTTAGGACTGGCATCAGATCTGCCATCCTTTGCTTTTCCTTAGTTCCAGTTGTTACTCTGACAGTTGCGTAGACAGGCTTCTCCCCGATTATGAGAGTAACGCTCTCCCCAAATTGAGTTAGAGCTGGGTCTATGAGGTCTATTTCCACCTCCAATAGACTGATTATTTCCCAAAGGTCGATCATCTCTCGATTCTGGTTGATAGTCACTCAAACATTCGGCAGCTCCCATAGTTGCGCTTAAATCAGTGACCTTTTGTCTCTGAAGTTCAGTGCGTGTCCACGGTTCCAACCCTTCCATGTAGGTGAACAACTTATCCTTTTCTGACATATCTCGAATATTCAGCATATGTCCCGAAAAGGCTCACATACTCCCCGATGGAGCTTGTGTGTTTCAGTTCTCGTAAGGCCCGATGTGCCTCATATTTCATATTCTCTGGAAAAAATAGAAATCTGATAGCTTCTTTGAGAAGATCCCGAGAATCTATTCGGACCCTGTTGGCATGAATATCAACATACTTCGTCCGCCACCATAGTTTTGCATCTCCACCGAGGCACATGGTAGTTGTTGTAACCTTTCTCGCTTCGTCTTGAATCGAAGCCGCAAAAAAGTATTGTTCCATATCAAACAAGAAGTTCTCAACTTCTTTAGCATCGTGTGCCC